CACCAAAAAAAAAAATCATGAACAAATATTAAATATTTCGGATAACTAATATCCTTCATCAGTAAGATGTCAAATAATTCTTATCTTGACATGTGGTAGTCAAACTGAAATAATAATCTTGATCGTCATACAAATTATCATGAACCAATACGCTAGTAAATGTTTTCAATATTGATGTTTGGGAGGAGGAATAAATTCCTTAAAACTGTAATAATCCTGTACTGAAGCTTGAGTTACAGGAAACAAGTGATCGTTCTATGTTTTTTTCATTAATGCCCCCTGGGGAAACTGTCCTTAACTTCCCCGAGCAAGTCTGTCGGCCCTTGACCAACCCTCGTTGTGGTCTATGATGGTAATGGTAAGGTTTTTGAGATCAGCTTGGGGGTGCCAAGGTGATCTCAAATTACGACTTACGGGGAGGTCGGGCTTGCAGGTGTAGTCACTTCGATGACCATTCATGCATTTGTTGAATGGCTGTTCTGTCTCTCTGGTATCTCTGGTTTTGGTAAATCACTGAATCAACTGATACCAAAAGTCAACATTTGTTTATTTTATGACTTTTTAATCCTTCTCCAATTTTCTAGTATTTGCGGAAAATAAATTTTAAAACTGCTCCTTGTCTTTATACTTAATATATCTGATTTATAAGTTTAGGTTTAATAAAGTTTACTAAAAAAATACATCGAAAACAAGAAGAAGAGAAAAAATTATATCTAAAACAAAAAAAAAGAAAACACATAATTTGCATGATGTCATAAACCTAAGCTACGTTGCCTTGGAATATTGATATTTTGGATAGTGATTAATTATTTTACACGTCATAGGTTTCTGACACAGAAAACAACTTTTAAACAGTTCTGTTACTGAAGATAATTTCAATAAAATTTGATTTTTGATGAAATCAAACAAAGTTTAATTTTGGACCCATTGGACCTCAATGCAGGTACAATTTGGCTGTTTAAAATATTAACCTCTTATGATTTTTCCCGTGGTAAATATAATGGTATATCAAAGAAGACTCCGTATACTTATAGCCAATAAGAAAATGCTCAATGTAACCGTGTATTAAAAGAGGGACGAAAGATACCAGAGGGACGGTCAAGATTCTGGATATTGGACCATAATAAGTGAAAGTCCAACTTCAAAATTTTTCAGTTCTTTGGCCACATTTATCCTGTGTCAAAAACCTTTCATGTGTCAAATACTTAAATTCATTCCAAATTTAGAGCTGTATCAAGCTTGAATGTAGTGTCCATACTTGCCAAACCGTTCAGAGTTTGACCTCTGCGGTTGTATCAAGCTGCGCGCCACGGAAATGTTATTAAAATTACCTTCAGTAGCAGACCTGTTTAAAGTTAATTTTCCACCTGTCATAAAACAGTCCTAGGACAAATTCTGCTTTTGTATTATGGCATTCATTAAATCTGGTACTGGTTAGATTTGACCTGTCAAAATGTCTGGTAATAAAGTGTGAGAAAAACTTAGAAAGTTTTAGAGTTTTCTATATATTCCTGAGATAAAAAAGGATGGTGTATTGACCAATGCAAAAGAGGGGCGAAAGATACCAGAGGGACATGCAAACTCATATGTCTTAAATAAACAGACAACGTCATGGTTAAAAAATAAAAAGACCAATTATAGACAAACAATAGTACACAAAACACAACATAGAAAACTAAAGACTGGGCAACACAAACCCCACCAAAAACTTGGGGTGATCTCAGATGCTCCGGAAAGGTAATCAGATCCTGCTCCACATATGGCACCCGTCGTGCTGCTCATTTTATTACAAACCCGGTAATAAGTCTAATTCGGTAGGTCACATTCGTGAAAAGGGTACGGGATTGTAGTTACGACATTAGGAACATATCCGTTATCATCTGTGAAACGGATATTCCATAACGGTCAACCAACTTACGAAGGGATGACATCAACTTCACCAATTGGAATTCTTGGTTTGATAGCTTCCTTGTGAGCAGCAACCCTCTATCAAAGAAATCATGATAGAAAATACAAGCCCTGGAATATCGTATCAACTTGGAGATATATACTCCATATGCAGGCGCTGCTGATGTGTTGCTACATAGAAATGGAAAGTGCACAATTGGGAAGCTAAAATCATCTCTTTTGTCGTAAAGTTTTGTTTTCAACTGACCCTCATTGTCAATTTCTAGATGCAAAGTTTTGGAGAATAGGCTTTTCCTCAAAAACTATACGAGTAAAGCTACTACCTATAATGGTTATATTATTTTCAAAACGGTTGATTTATTTATTTTCGTACTTTCGTTTTTGACACGCATGGTAAAGTCGACGTGTTTGCAATTTTATTTCACATGTTATCGTGCTTGAAGATCATTATTCACCCTGTTTCCTTAAAATTGATAAAAAACAACGCGGAGCTGAAATGACGATTTATTTCATGTTTGTCCGTTATACCCCCTTTTTCGAAATTATATGACGATGGCACATATTGTATGTTTAAACCAGCTGAGCAATAATGTTTTGAACTAAGATTTAAGAAATGATGACAAAGTAGCATACCAAAAATATTGTTAGTAAGCTGAAATATATATATTTTTTTACATATCTATGTTTTGTAAGATATTTTTTTTTCCCGACCGACCGACCGACCGGACTTTTTCATGTGAAAAATCCGTAAAACAACAAATTAAAATAAAATGATGAAAGTGGTAAGGCATTAGCCAATTTCAAGGTTAATCGACATTTAACTTGCATTTCATGAAAATTTCAGAAGTCAGTCCAAAATTCAAAAACTGTAGTAGGTATGTATGAATGAATGATTCTTATTATAAACAAAAATATAGTTTGGTAGAACATTCGCGTCACGAAAGTTGAAAGCAATAAAGATAATGAGGCCAGGTGCATGGATTGTCATCTAATTATTGTCCAGTAATAAACACTCTACAAGGGAATAATCTATTATTGTTTCTTCGGGAGTTATACGCTTCCGCACATATATTTGCCTCCACCTTTAGCCTAGTAAACGTGATGCCCCTCTGGGAATTGTAAAAGATTGTAAAAATGCTTTCTTTTGGATAAGTCTTTTATTGATATAAAGTTAACATCCGTACTACTCACTAGACAGGACTCCTGTCAGATTTAATTCTTTTACATGTGGGTGAAAGATTAAAGTCACAAAAACATTAACTATGATAAATTAGAGGTAATAGTAGTTTACAAATGTTTAAATCTATTTAGATGATAGAAATCAAGGTTAAAAAGTTAAGAACTTGGATAAACGCAAGAACTCCAACATCAGCAAGATCAGTAAGACTGGGTATATTGACAGGGTAAATTTTTTCTATTGTATGTGCATAACCCGTCATGCGAATCCAGGTCTTGACAAAATGTCGCAATAGGGAGTTGTATACGATCGGTCAATATACTGATAAGACATATAAACTGTTATTTAAAGATCTACGACCGTGAAAGCATGTTGCAAGTCAGGTAGAACACAGTCGCCGCGTATTGATCAACCAATTTGAGATGATCACTTTCAAACGCCGAATTCAGTCTTTCTTCCCAGTAAATCTACTTTCGCGTTTTTCTGTCAGAAACACATCTCTGTTATCGAAGTCCGTATAGTTTGAATAGAATTATAGGTACCAATTATACTGCCAAAGATGAGCATTTCGACAATTGATATCTCTTCAGTGATGCTTGAGATTCAAATATTTGAAGATTCAAAACCTGATACAACCATTGAACGGTACTTTAAACCAAAAACCAAAACAAGCTAAAAAAGTGAACATACATGAGCGTAACGTATTTTTTGAGATATTAAACTCCATATGATGATGAAAAATATGAAGTTGATAATTGTAAAGGAAAAATCATCACGTTTGTCATTGTTTATAATTTGAAGTTGTCCATCTGTTTTAAGATCAAGGAAACAATCATAATACCAAGCAGACTTTCTAGTTTTCATATCAACCGTATTCTCAAGTTTACTGGGATGTATGAGGTGCAATCACTCACTGAAATCTGGTTATGAGTGACAGGACATCATCAATATATTTCAAAGTGAAAGAAAAGTATTAGCCAAGATGCTTCGATTTTATTTGTTTGGGAATCTTTTGTATGAGTACAAAAACAAGACGGCCTATAAGGGTATATAGTAAGTTCCAACTGGAAAAAAACGACTGTTAATGAACTTTTTCCATTGTTCATTGATGAATATAAATGTTTTATGAAACATATGGAATGAACTATAAGACCTTCAAACTTTTGATTCTCCTCACCGTAGGCAACGTGGCATTCGGTGTTACCCTTGACCGTTCATCCGTCCATTCCATTTTCGTATTAAACAGCACTCTAACTTAAGTTTGCTTCATGCAATTTTGATAACACTCATACATAATGCAAAGAACCAACACCAGAAGATAGAGTTCGATTTTTGGCAGCGAGTTACTTCCCGTCCTAGAGTTATGTCCCTTTATAACTTAGAAAATTGCAAATTTTTTCGTTTCCGCACTCTAACTTTAGTCTTTCTCATCCAAATTTTACGAAATTCTTACACTATGCTAAGAACCCAAACTTGCAGACAGAGTTTGAATTTGGATAGCGATTCACTTGCCTTCTAGAGTTATGTTCCTTTATAACTGGAAAAATTTCAATTTTTATCTTTTCCGCACTGTAACTTAGGTTTACCTCACCCAGAACTTTATGAAACGTTATGCTTAAAACAACAAACATAGACAGAGTTCGAATTTGAGTAGTGAGTCATTTATTGTTTTGGAGTTATACCCCTTTTTAACCAGGAAAATTGCAAAGCTGAGCAGGGGCATTTGTATCCTCATTATATTCTGTCATATTCAAGTAAACAGGTGAGACATTTCACCATGTACTTGTACTCACTTTCTGAAAAAGTTGGGTTTTTTTTTCTAAAACCAGGAACGCAACTTATTTGCTTCGCTTAATAAACAATATTGAATATCCGAATGGTAAAGAAAAGTGATTCTCCTTTCTTCTCATTGTAGCTCAACATAAACAGGAAATAAGCGAGTGGGAGCTAGATCAGACTGACTTTCTTGTAACCAGAGCAACACTTCACATACTTGGATCCTTACCATTAAATAACTGCATTGTAATAACAGGGAGCTCTGGCTGCGGAAAATCTTCAAATATACATCATGTTGCCTTACACTTACGTGACAAGTATGAATATGAGATAGTTCCTGTTTTAACAGGACCGTCAGATATAATAAATTATTATGATGAAAATAATAAACAAGTATTTGTCGTAGATGACATTTGTGGGAAGGAAACAATCAACATACAGAAATTACAGTTATGGAGAGATTATTCAGAAAAAATGGAAAAAATATTTAAAACTGTAGAAAATGAAACTTGTGGCACTGTTTCACGTGTATCAGGTTCAAAATTACTGATTTCATGTAGATTGCATATATATAAAGAAGCACAATTTCAACTAGTCAAGCTACTTACAGAAAAAGAATGCAATATATTATCACCAGGACTGTGCCTACTGCAAGAGGAAAGAAAGTTAATGGTGCAAAAATACCTACCAAATGCCATAATTGAAATTGTAATGGAAGTTGAGGAGAACGTTGATTTCTTTCCATTACTCTGCAAAATGTCAAAAAACAAAACGTCGGAAGAAGTCGTTAAACTTTTTACAGCTCCCGTGGACAGCATTATGAATAACATACGCCACATTATACTGGAAAACAAGACACAATTCTGCGCTCTTGTTGTATGTATATTGTATGATGATGGATTTAATACAGATTGGTTAAATCTAAATTTAATCTCAGAGAAAAAGATGAACAAACTTGAAGATATTTTAAGAGAATTTGAAATAGATTTGTCCAAAGAAATGGCAAGAAATGCTTTAAAAGCTGGTTTTACTACATTAGTGGGTACCTATCTGAGAAAAAGAGGTACAGAGTACTGGATAATACATGACAGAATTCTTAAAATGGCAGCTATAATCTGTGGCCAGTACCTTACAGAATGTTTTATAAAATATGCTCCTTTTATATTTATTCGTGATCACTTCATCTTGGAATCTATTAGCACTGGAGTACCTACAAATCCAGATTTTATTATTCTATCTGAAGACAAAGTGGATATATATTTTGAAAGATTATTAAGTGACTTAAAAGAATCCATCATTACAAGCACTTTTCATAATAAACAATTAATATATCAGCCGTTTAGAGAAAAAATAATTCGAATATTCGGAAGGAGTGATGAATCAAAACAAATATTAAAGGATTTTGACCCCAAAGGTAACAAGATGAAAACAGATGAGTTTTTCTTGGATTGGTATAATAGGTTAACAACACCTTTAATAGAATCAGTATCATATGGTTACTATGATCTGGTTCACTTTCTGATAGATTCTGTTAAATGTGATATGAACGACAGAGACCAAAGAGGTAGGTCACTTTTATATATGGCATCTGAAGGACGAAACTTAAATATAGTTAAACTGTTATTACAGAACAAAACTGATATGTTTAATTGTGAAACGTCTAGATTTTGTCCGCTCTATGTAGCTTGTGCAGAAGGATGTACAGATATTGTGAATTTGTTTCTGCAGAACAACGTCTATCAGTATGACAGCGTTAGATCATCTCTTATGGAATGTTTAAAAGGACATACAGATACAGAGCATTCATATATCTCTCCTGATATGTGTCGAAGTAATCAAGTTAGAGGGTATTTTCAAAGAGGTAGAGAGTCTCGTTACAGAGATGGAGAGTTTCCTTTCCAAAGTCACCAAAGTAGAGATTCTCCATTGTGTGTTGCATGTAAAAGAGGTCATATAGACACAGTGAAATTATTACTGCAGAACAACGCTGATGTCTCTATGTGCAACAGTAAAGAAGAGACACCATTGTTCACGGCCTGTAAAGGAGGCCATAAAGATATAGTTAAATTGCTTCTGCAGAACAATGCTGCTGTATCTCAACTAAGCAGATCTAACAATATAAACAATTCTTCATTGCATGCAGCCTATAATGGAGGACACACAGATATTATGGAAATGTTACTGCAGAATAATGATGTGAGCTGTGATTTTAACGAATTTGAAATATTTTTGACATTGTGGGTAGCATGTGAAAAAGGACATACTAAATTAGTGGAACTTTTACTAAAGAAAACAGTTGATATAAATCGTTGTGACCTTACTAAAAAAAGGACTCTTTTGCATGTTGTCTGTGTAAGAGGCCATGCAAGTATAGTGAAACTGTTACTTAAAAACAAGGCTGAAATCTCTAAGTGTAATAGTGATGGAGAATCTCCATTATATGCGGCTTGCGCAAATGGCAATACAGATATAGTGCTGATATTGCTGCAGAACAAGGCTGATATCTCTCAGTGTAAAAGTGATGGAGAATCTTCATTATATGCGGCTTGCGCAAATGGCCATGGAAACATAGTGAAAATTTTGCTGCAGAACAAGGCTGATATCTATCAGTATAAAAGTGATGGAGAATCTCCATTATATGCGGCCTGCGCAAATGGCAATACAGATATAATGCAGATATTGCTGCAGAATAAAGCTGATATCTATCAGTATAAAAGTGATGGAGAATCTCCATTATATGCGGCTTGCGCAAATGGCCATGAAAACATAGTGAACATTTTGCTGCAGAACAAGGCTGATATATATCAGTATAAAAGTGATGGAGAATCTCCGCTGTATGTGGCCTGTAAAGGGGGCCATACAGATATAGTTAGCATACTGCTGCAAAACAAGGCTGATATATCTCAGTGTAAAAATAACGGAGAATCGCCATTTTAAGCGGCTGGTGCAAATGGCCATACAGACATAGTGCACATATTGATGCAGAACATGGCTGATGTCTCTTAGTGAATAGTAGTTAAGGGTGTCCATTGTATAGGACACGTGAAGTAGGGCACTTAGATGAAGCGAAACTTTCTGCAGTACAGTATACACTCAGTGTGCGGCAAGCGAGGAGTCTCTATTTCACGTTGCAAGAGGCATCAGGCAATACGTCGTTTGGTCTAAGCATGAACATTTTGAATTGCGGTCATCGTAACATGTTTTTGTAATAGTGATTCTATTAAACATCATCTCATTTTTGAAGAAGCATATAAGCATGATAAGGGGATACAAGTGGATCGCATTGAAATTGTACAATCATTAATTGCATGGAATACTGATGTAAAGTTATGTAGTAAAAAAGGTCACACACCTCTACAAATTGTGCATCTCTTCTAGGAACATTTCAAACATGTCAACATGAAACGTCATTTATATTTATAGGATAACGGCTACATAATAAATGTTGTAAAAATTGTTGATAAATATTTTGTTTGTATAGACATGTTAGAAAGAAAAGAGTATATTTTGTTTGTCAGTATAAAGTTATAAACATGTTATAGTACATAGCTTCTGATAATTGTCAAGGTTTCGATAACATTTTATTTCCTTTCCTGTTAAACTTAGCCCTTTACCATTTGAAAATTTTTCTCTATTTCTTATATGTCAGCCCTTAGCACCATAGCATCACATTTTTGTCTTAAACACATCAGATGCAGTAAAAGGGGTGTCGTTTAATATAATGATGGTCAAGCCTTTGCTATAACTGTTATATTCAAATATTGTCCTCTGTTCATTTATATGTTACCAGCTTTGACTGTTATCATCTGAATATATGTATATGTCTGTCCCAAAAAGAATTATGTGTCTATGGCAGGCCTTTGATAGTCTCTGTTAAATGCAGTCATCATTTTTCCAATTAATAGCTTAACTTTTGTGTCTAAATCTGAGCATAGACCACTATTTTATGTCTATACGGCTTGCCGTCATAATGATTTAAACATTACATTAATTTTTCAGTCAGTTAGTCCGTCTGGTTCTAGCCCTTGTCATCGCAACTCCGTTGAAACCACACAACAGAATTTCGTGAAACTTTGTAGTTAATCAAGACATACTATGTAGACGTGCATAGCAACAGGAAGTTATGATTAAATTTTTTTCTAAGAGTTAGGCCCTTTGAACTTATAATTTTGGACTAAATATTCTACGGCAAAAGTTTGTGATCGCAATCCCTCTGAAGCCACACAAAACATTTGATGAAACTTTGTAGATGATAAGGATATACTATAAAGATAAGCATATCGACAGGAAATTACAATTGATAGTTTTTTCTAGGAATTGTGTCCCTTTGAACTTATAATGTTGACCATGATGTACTATTGCAACAGTTTGTCAGCGCAATCTCCAAACCACACAACAACTTTGTAGATGTATTAAGTAGTGCATATAGATAGACAATTTTGATTCAATGATTTTCTAGGAGTTATGCCTTTTATGCCTTTTTAAACGCAGAATTTTTACATAAATATACTATTGCAACAGCGCAACTTCTCTAAAAACACAACAAAATTTTTTGAAACTTTGTAGTTTGTGAAAACATAATATGTATATGTGCATATCCACAAGAATTTTTTATCAGTCGACTTTTGTAGGAGTTATGAGTCTTTGAACTCAAGAATGTGTTGAGATTTTGTTTGCCCAGTAGCAATGTTATGTTAGCGTGCTTTCAAAGGTTCTTTAATCTATTTTTACAGTTTGTTTCACTTAAGTTTTTCAAAATGGAATTAAGACCACAGAAATTTCAATATAAGTCATTTCAACTACTCTTCACATTTTTCAGAAACATCCTTTTGATTAAGAATATATATGCATTTCTATTTGATAAGCCTATTATAAACAATAAAGTGTAGAAATTAAATGATATAATCATGAGATTGATTAGTCTAAATTGAAAACAACGTTCAAACCTATGATTTCGTTGGATAAAAACCGCAATTTTTATACGTGTGCATGTAAAACAAATTTCTTGGTAGAGGGGTCTAAATACAGCATAAACAACATTTTCAAAAGACGAAAAATATTGATATACATATACAGTTCACTTTTGGAAGATAATTGTTAAAGTAATAAATAAAACGAACAAAAATAGAACCGAAATAATAAGTTAAGGTTTTCGTCACATTCATCCATATGCAATACATTTATATATGTCTTAAGCTTCATTTAAAAAAGATATAACTGTCACATGTGATCTTCCATATTTGGCCATTATGTTTAAAAAGGTTCCATTTTGTAGTCTATTAACTGAAAATTCAAGAATTCAACATATCAAATTTACCACTGTATTGGATTATAAAAGCTACTATATCTACAGATGCTATTTTTACTTACAAAAGTTCCTCAGACAGTAGAACATGACACTCTACACCTTACTGTAAATAGTATAGTGGTATTCGATTATTGATTACTCTTGCTTCCTAGTACATGTAATGTAACAATATTAACTGTATTGTATGTAAATGTAAATTAAATGATGAGTGTATAAATCAAAGTTAACTATTTGAATTTCTTTTACCTGTTAAGTTATGCATACAATACTCCGGGTGCGGGAGTTTCTCGCTGAATTGAAGACCCATTGGTGGCTTTCGGCTGTTGTCTGCTCTATGGTCGGGTTGTTGTCTCTTTGACACATTCCCCATTTCCATTCTCAATTTTAATACAATCAGCAGCTAGAGGGACAGACGAAACATAAATCAATTGGCAGAAATTTGTATATATTTCTTTTTAATTTAAAAAGCAACATATGTAATTGGAAAAAAATATATAATATTTATTATGATTTCAAATAACTAATGGTATTGAACATGTTTCAACCTTTAATCAAAATTGTGATATATATGTTCGATCCATAGCAATGATAACAATGATTGATACTGTAAATTCTACAGTGAATTGTGTCCAGAGCCTTTGAGGACTCACGATTTTGTACTGATTAGACTGATTGAAAATAGTATTTATGTACTGAATCATGTTATGAGTGTATATAATTTTTTTTATAGTATGTTCTTGTTTGACAATATTTTTCATTTACATTATTCATATTTATAAAGTAATATATTAGGTGTACTAGTATGACATTCGTTCTTTTGTTTGCCTGATTTATATTCACTTGCAACAAGCTCGATAGTATCGTGGTAATACGGTTGATTTAAATGTGTGAGGTTGTAGATTCGATCTCCGGCTGGGTTAAACCAAAAACTTCAAAACTTGTATTTGCTGCTACTTCCCTTAGCATGTTGCATTAAAAATTTAAAGAAAGAAAGGATAGCTCGTAGACATAATAATATTTCCTGGTAAGATAATATATGTCTTCTTTAGGACAGTTACCTTACGAGGTAGCATGGTATAAATAGGACTCCACATTTTGGTCAAGAACAAAGAGGGATCCATTGTTACGGCCAGAAATCACCTTTAATTGCAACCAACAACAGACACAAATCAATAATTAAATTTAACAAGATTTATTATTCACAAGTTTACAAGAAGTATTACACAAATAGAAATGTTAACTTAACTGTCAAAATATAAGTTCGATCCTTTGTCTTTTCTTTATCCGGAATCCTTCTCGTAACTGTACGGAGTATTTCCAATCTAGTATGATGTAGTTAACGTAAATAAAAATGTCAATCCAACTGAGAGAACTTATGAGAATATTAATGTCTCATCCGAAAGTTTAACTTTAGTGTCTGTATATATATATATATATATAGTTGTCAGAAAATAGAAATCTCTCGAACACTGTAGAAGTGAAACTCCCAGAAAACTGTAGAACGGAAACTTCTAGAATACGGTAGAGGTTTTAATCACACATCGTAGATTATGATCATTCCAGAATTAATATGTAAGTCAAATAGAACGTTCTAATCATTCCATCAGTATCTATGATTGTTCCCGTAATTTCTAAACTGCACAGTTGTAAACAACTATAAGTATTATGTAAACATATTATACATGTTATAAGTCCACACAAAAAAAAATAAGGCCAAGATAGATAAATATAATAATTACAATATCATTACACCTCCCCCTTTAAAAAAGTTTTCATGAACAATATATATACAAAAATATATGGTATGTATACAGTGTTTTAATAAGATCTAGATAAAGCATCTGCTATAACATTATCTTTACCTTTATTATGTTTTACAATAACATCATATTCTTGTAACAATAAACTCCACCTAGTCAACCTCTGGTTCTTGTTTCTCATTTTACGTTTGAAGGTGAAAGGATTATGATCAGTATAATCCTTTCTAAGATGCATAGTGGGATTTAAATATACATCAAAATGTTGAAGTGCAGACAACAGTGCAAAACACTATTTTTCAATAGTTGAATAATTTTTCTGATGTTTATCTAATTTCTTAGAAAAATATGATATAGGTTTCTCAACATTGTTATCTGTCTCTTGATATAAAACGGATCCAACTCCTACATCACTTGCATCAACGGCAAGTTTAAATTGTTTTTCTAAGTCTGGAGTGATCAGAACTGGACTATTGATTAAAAGTGATTTGCCAAATTCAAAAGTGTTTTGACAATTATCACTCCAGATAAATTTAGAATCTTTCCGTAAAAGATGAGTCAATGGTTGAACAACATTAGCAAAATTTGAACAGAATTTCCTGTAAAATCCGATCATGCCTCATATCTCATTAGGTTTTTTTTTATTTGTAGGAGGAGGAAATTTGGTAATTGCATCCACTTTAGCCGTAATAGGTTTCACTTGACCTTGGCCAACTGTGTGCCCAAAATAATCAACAGTGGCCTGGCAAAATTCACTTTTACCAAGATTAGCAGTCAAATCTGATTGTGACAATCTATCAAAAATATCATATAAATGTGTTAAATGCTGTACCCAGCTATCACTACATACAATGAGATCATCAATATAAGCATAACAACAGTCTAAATATTTTATAACATTATTGATCATTCTTTAAGATGTAGCTGGAGCACTTTTCATACCAAACGGCATTACAGTATACTGAAATAAGCCGTCTAGTGCGACAAAAGCTGATATTTCACGAGCTCTCTGTTTCAAAGATACCTGCCAGTAACCCTTCAATAAATAAAATTTGCTTGCCTAATATTATCAATGCAATCGTCTATCCTTGGAATCGGATAGGAATCAGATTTTGAAACTGAATTTACTTTTCTGAAATCAGTTACGAAATGAAAGGTTTTATATAGTTTTGGCACAAGGAGACAAGGAGAGCTCCATTCACTGTTACTCGGCTCAATAGTTTATTCAAGTGGATTGAGTCGGTAAGGATGTTGCTTAATTGGAGAAGCATCACCAACATCGAAATCATGACAAACAGCAGTGGTTATGTTTGGCACATCTGGAAAAAGATTTTAAAAAGAAAATTTTTCAAGTTTTCTCTACGATCAAAAGTCAGATGTGCAAGTTTTGAGTCTAAATTTGTCAAAATTTCTGAATTTTTCAGTCTTACTGTTTGTTTCATAGTCTTTGAATTAAACATGTTAAAAGGTGGTGCAATTATATAAGAGAGGGACGAAAGATATCAGAGGGACAGTCAAACTCATAGATCGAAAACAAACTGACAACGCCATGGCCAAAAATAAAAAAAAACAAACAGACAAACAATAGTACAGATGACACAACATAAAAAACTAAAGACTAAGCAACACGAACCCCACCAAAAACTGGGGGTGATCTCAGGTGCTCCGAAAGGGTAAGCAGATCCTGCTCCACATGTGGCACCCGTCGTATCTTGTTTGTCATGATTGTTCTCTAATTCAACCATAACTAAAGTGGCAACTGGTTTGCTCTCACCTTCATTAGTACGTTCAAAATATGGTTTTAACATATTAATGTGACACACTCTATTTTGTTTACGCCGACCTGGTGTTTTTACAATATAATTCAAATCCTTAATTTCTCTCTATTGTATAAGGACCACAATATTTAGTCTGTAAAGGATGTCCAGGTACTGGCAAAAATACAAGTACCGTATCACCAGGCTCAAAATATCTGTCACTGGCATCTTTATTATACCATATTTTCATCTTATTCTGAACATTTTTTAAATTGTTCTGCGCAATTTGACAAGTAGTATACAATTTTTCTATAAATCTAGATACATATTCTAGAAGATTCAAGTCAGTGTGTTCAGTAAGCCATTTTTCCTTAACCAATTTCAAAGGTCCCCTTACAGTATGACCAAATACCAACTAAAATGGACTAAAACCAAGGGATTTTTGAACAGCCTCTCGGACCGCAATAAGTATAATCCGTTTGACTTCTATAAATCTTCAGAAAATAATTCTTAAAAATTCATTTTTACAAATAAACATTTTTTTTCTTGATGTATGTTAATGTATGATATATACGAACTCTGGCTATGAATATCATAATTTTAGGCCAATAATCAAAAATGTTACCCATTAGGTCTCTATGTTACTCCTATCTTTTTTTATATAAAATACTTGATGGAGTAGTATGAATAGTGTAACAGCCTTCCATTCAAAACAAAAACATAAGACATGTGCTTTAAACCTGTTTCATTATACCATGTGACTTTTCTAATTTAAATAACGCTGACCAGCAAACAAACTTGGACTTCATTTTAGTTTTATGTCATGTGATTACTGAACTTATTGTATACATGATGTTGTATTTTTTATTGTTCAATTTCTATGAGTAACCTTAGTAATATTTTCCACTGGACATTACTTGTATAACATTTTTAAAAACTACAAAGTATTTTTATGCAAAATTCAGTTTAGAAATTTTATTGAAAAGTTCCCCTTTTTATCAGTAAATGTCTGTATGGTTATATTTTATCTAATTTTATTTTCATATTTTGAAAGTCATAAGCTGTTTTTTTTTCAAGAAAAAAGTAAATATAAAATGTATTGGTGAAACTTTTTAGAGGCTCTCCATTTTGTTAATACTGTCATCATGCTTTAAGCATGAAAAGCTTGCTTATATTCTTTTATAAGATATATATAAATATATAATCAATTTAAGGTAACAAAAATTAAGATTTGATAAGGAATAAAAACAAAATAAAACATCTGATTATAATATTGTTTCCCACAAATAACATCTTTGTAGATCCATGCAAGTTCATTTTTAAAATAAATCATATAAAACCAGTTATAAAAAAAATTAGATGATGGTCCTACTAATGTGAAAAATTTGATAAGATCTTTGACAAAAGTTGGTGTCTTGATATTCCTTAGCGGAATAGCCTCGTGAAAGCAAGTGGATGTACACATGATTGTCAATAAATACGCATTTCCAGTCTTGGTCTTAAGTAAAGGTCCAACGCAGTCAATTAGTACTCGGCTGAAAGGTTCTTCAAAGGCTGGATTTGGCAGAAGTGGTGCTGGTGGTATTTTCAGGTTAGGCTTACCAACAACCTGACATATATGGCATGATTTGCAGTATTCTGTGACATCATTTCTAAGTCTGGGCCAGTAGAAATGTTGCAAGATCTTAAGGCAAGTCTTCCTTATGCCTAAATATCCGGCCAAGGGGGTGTCATGGGCAAGACCAATAATTTCTTGCCTATAGACTTTAGGTACCGCCACTTGGTATACCACTCTCCATTCCTCCTCTTGGATAGCATCGATTGGCCTCCATTTCCTCATTAAAATATTGGTAGTAGCATTCGGCCTCTTTGTCTGCTTCCTCCTGTGGTTGAGCCCTTCTACAGAGCTGAAGAACCTTATGATCTTTATTTTGTTCTGCTACAAATTTTCTTCTGTCTAATCAGTCTGTTTACGTCTGACCATGGCAAATTAACATTCTTGTTAGTACTAGTTTACTTTTGCCTTATCTGAGCTGCTTGGACCTTCAGTGTCGGCAAGGAAAGTGTCCGAAAGGTCCATGTTATCAAACTGGTCTTCTTGTAAATACTCATTTTGTTATTTCTAAACCATTACTCTAGTAACAACACAAGCTAAATACAGTTCAGCATCATCTTCAAGTGATTTAACATCCACCACCGGTTCACTGGTAACAATTGGTTCAGCAACCACTTTGTTCCTAGCTAGATCATTTCCTAGCAATAATAAAACACCCTCAACAGGTAGATTAG